GCGCTGCATCTCGGCGGGGGGGGGGGGGAGAAGAGGACGGTCTCGATGATCCCGGGCTTCGCTCTCCCGCTCTCAACTCACGTGAAGTACGGCCGACACGGAGATCGCGATGGTTTCCGTCGATATTTCCCACGGAAAGCACGGAACTTACCCCTCGAACGGCGAGCACTGCGAGAAGATTCGAAGCATGGCTTCGCAACGGCATCGCGCAACTGACTTCGAGAATCGCAATATCGCACTCTCGATACCGCGGTCGATGGGCCAATCGCGGCGGATCAATCGCGACGGTCGATTAGCGCGGGAAATACAAGACACTCGGGCGAGTACCGGAGAAACGTTCGTAACAGATCGATCGCGAATAATTGCCTTTTCTCGCGCAATCTTCGACACGGGAATCTTTCATCGTTACTTTTACTTTGGAGTAAATCGCGTATTCGCAAACGTTCCAAACCTGTGACGACCGATGCGTAAAATTAAATATGCCTAATCTTCGAAGTTAACAGATTCGCAAGTATCATTCCTTCCCATCCGTGGGCATTATTATTCCTTGCCATTCGTTGAAATTCTTCCGCGAGGTAATTTCAATAATTCAATCATTTATTCGTTAAGCGAAACGAAAACTCCCGAACAGCATAAAAGATATCGCAGATACTGTGCCACCCGGGATGCACAGTGTCTGTCGCATAAGCCTTTTATATCTCACTTTTCTCACGCTTTTCTAACTACCGTAATTTCCTCCACGCTAAGATGCTCCCGCGGTGTCTAAATTTAATATACAAAGCACAAGCTTCGTAAAACAAAAGCTTTCTTAAAACTTCTTTCAAGTAAAAGAGAGCTCACAAATTATCCCTCACAAACTTTTATGTTTTTCCTCTATGTCGCACCTCTCTCTCTCTCTCTCTCTCTTTTACGTTATTATAAAGAATATTATAATCGGAACTTGACACTCAAGTGACGAAGATTACACGATGCACGTACGTCTGTTGCAGGCAAGTTTCGCAAGGAGTTCAGGCGTACCTTCCGGTGTTCCCACAACGGCGGGACCGGCGCCCACAAACGGGGATACGTCACGTGTATCGCGGACCCGCTTAAACACAGGTCCCGAAATTACACGAGATCGGCTCATACCATGTCCAACAATAATAACGTTCAGCAAAGTACCGAGGTCATACCTCTCAGTACCATAATCAACGTACCGCAAAACGAGAAACAGGAATGAGCCTGGTTTCTCGTACCCTCAAACTACGCCAGACGTTCTTTTCCACGCAGACTTTCTGACCAAGTCGAAATCTTTTCTCGAGAAAGATGCATCGAGACGTCCGCAGTGTCTCAATAATTAACAAGCGAAAGGCAACTGAACTTCCGTATCAAGACTGAGAAAAACGAGCGAAGATCGTTGAAAGTTGGTAACTTTGCGATGAATTCGCTTCGGCATTTTCAGAAGAGAGAAAGAGATCTGAATTGATCGAGGAAAATTGTAGTTGTTGAAAGAACATTTGGCGAGACGCGCTTTGTATACCACAATAAAGTATAGTTCTCTAAAGTCAATAACTCAGTAATATTCGTAGAGTATAATCAAGTCGTTCCAACGTATCGTTTAAGTAAAAGCCTCGTTCAACGGAACTTTCCTCAAGTTTCGCTGAATCGAGATGAACCGAGTTACATGATATTCAATTAATGTGTAAATAGGCAATTATACATACGAGTCCACACGACATCACTGAGATTTGCTGCTTTAAACATTTTACTTTATTATACTGTAGATATAGATGTAGATAACAATGTACATCACAGATCGATAACTGAAGTTGGAGACCTAAAAAGACGCACGTCAAGATTCAAAGGAATAAACGCAAGAGTGTAAATATAAAGCGTCGCGTTCTACCTATTCCGGCACTTAAAGCATTCAGTTACGCTCCGTTTTCGTGTGTCACTTGCGATATTTATTTTCCCTATAATACATTTCGACATATCAATCAAAATATATCTACAAAGTTTAATAAAGTGTACGTAATCCTAACGTTTAAAGCTTAAAGTTATTATATAAAGTTATCACTAACGGTATATTAGTTTTTATAAACTGTACAATATATGCTACAGCGAATGACGTGTTCTTTCTCGCTTCGTTTCCACTTAAATTTACATTTTTATTGCGCAGAAGTGCCGTTCACCATGTATAAATTCTCCTATCGAGAACCTCTCGCATCTGTTTCTCATAGAATTTTGTTTAAGGCTTTAACTTTGCATAACTTTGCCGCAGTTATACTCCTAGATGTAATAATTGTGGCGAGTTCGAAACAAAATTATTTGAACGTTTCGTCTCAATGCGCTCTTTCGCTGCTTTTATTCACAAAAATAATTATCTTACTTCATTGATTAAACACTCTAGTATATTCGAGTTAGATCTTAGAGACGTAGCTTAATATCCCGAAAGAAGAAAAAAAAAGTACTTTATATTATCTTTGTGACAACGGCCGACTTGTATGTTAATAGAACTTGCAAAAACGGCCAGTTTATGAAACTTAAAACATGTAAATAAAATATAATAAAAGAGAATTCATTGTGTAATATGGGAGAAAAAACTAAATAGATATCTGATAGAGACTGTTCGTTTCTCTTGCTTCCACGTATTTTCTATTCTGCAAAGTAAGACTAACACAGTCTCCTCTCTTTTCGAACGAAGCCAAGAACCGAGAGAAAAGAGTGCAGAAATGCGTAAGAATGAAGAGAACAGACATCTGTTAATTGTTATCCCAATTGCATGTGAAAAAAAAATTTTCTATACAAAAAGATGCACACTTACGTTACTCAATGAAATGTATTTCGTTAATATTATAACTACAAACATTTCTGCACTGTAGGTAGTCATAACATTGAAAAAGTATATGTATAGAATTGCCGGTTACATCATGTCCGCAGTTTATGGCCTGCGCAGCTGCCAAGTATATTACATTCGTACACGATAACGTTCCTCGCTAAATAGTGACCAGTTATAGGTAGACTTCGCATATGAAAAAGTCATCGTTACTTCATATTCCAGGCAATAATAACCGTCAGCGCGTTACGAGGCTGCTATTTTAGATATTATTACAAATATGGATTATAGTTCCCATATGTTAATACGCTTTTTTTTTACATGTTTTAAACTTATATTTAATAGCATTATTCGCGTATCGGTTCTTTGTGAAACTTCTTTATTCCAAAGCAATTATCAGCGAAGCTTTCAAATCTTGCAAATCCATCATTGGAATCATCAATCCACCATTATTTGCGTGAAAAAAGCTACCTCGATAAGATTTTCCGACGACACACATGTTCGGGAAATTACAAATTTTTTTTTAATGAAATTTTACTTTAATGCAAGTGAAAATTGTAATAAATTTTTCGCGTAACTTAATTTACATAAACTGTATCGTATTGTTTTCTTATCTTAGAAAATATCTTTCTAAGTTCATTTTCTATGAATTTTCATAAGCAATAAACAGATTAATTTACTTTGATATTCAAAATAAATTAAATCATAAAATAAATCATGACTTTTCGCTTTTAAACCAATAAATGGTTATAGTAGCGGATCAATGGCCTTAAAGCTAAAATGTTGCGTACACGTCAGCTAGCTAGTTTACTGCAACGACTGCATTCGAGAACATAATTTTAGTATTTCTTGCTCTGTTATAAAATATAGTGCATTCGCCGATGCACTTCTTCGAATACGAATTGATTAATAATTATTCTGTATCCCTGATTCTATAGCGAAAGATTGCATGCGCATTACAGAATAAATATACGATTATGGGTATGCGAATGAACTAGATGCTTCCAAAGCAACGTTTCGTCCAAGCGCGTCGTGTTCGCGGAGCGACACTTCAACACGCGGCAAGTCGCGGGGAAAAACATCGCATAAATACGAAGCGTAAATGATAGTAATAACGGTCTTTAGGCTGCAGCTTTCTCGACGATGGTACTTTCGGGAATTGCGGATTCAATGTTACCTAATTCAGTCTCGACGCTAGCCAATGTCGTTGGACTGTGAGAAACCGTGTTCTTTTCGTTCGAAGTTACTTCTAATAGTTCCTTAACACTGACGCTATCGTCCAAATTATCTTTTTTAACGGGTGACGCGTCAATGTTTATGTGAGCGTCGGCATTCGTGATGATCTCTACCTTCCCGTCCATATCGTTCACTGCTCTGACCACATCCGGAGTTTGACTCTTCTGGGGCGGCTCCTGACTCGGCATGCTCGGCTGTTCGACTTGTGCACTGTCGAATTGTCCCGGCACGGGCTTCTCGTCACTTTCTACCGCGCTACCATTCTTGACTTCTTGTTCAGTCTGTTGCACGTTATTACCACCAGATTGATTATTCTGATACTGCTGGGTGCTTCTGCCTCTGCCTCTACTGCTTTGCTGAGTATCAGGCGGTGGAAGAATAGGTATCGCTGCTTTCGGTCGCCGCAAAGGAGCTGCTTGTTGCTGTTGCTGCTGCTGCTGTGCGGGACTGTAGTAAGTACACCCTTGCGGTTGGTACAATTCTTGGGGCGGTGGTGGACCTTGAGGCTATAACATTAAAGTACACAAAATTAAATACGGAATATTCCCATTATATTGCAACTTTATAACATTTTTTTTAGATATTTAAGAAAGACCTCACCTGCACCGAAGGGTTGTATCCCTGGTAGCCTTGAAAGTTTGGTGGGAACGTCGGGCCATTTGGACCAGGAACATAATTAATTATACTAGGAGGTGCCGTTTGAGGTGGTATGAATTGCGGTGGCGGTACTAAGAACGGTGGTGGCGCGTAGCTAGCAGCTTGTCCACCAGGTGGTAGAGAAATGACAGGCTGCCCTGCCATGGGTGCTGCGGCTGGAGCGACTGGAGGAGACTGCTCAAAATGGCCTTGGGGATAACCTGGAACGTTAACACATGGTAAACCGGTTTGCAATAAAAACTGGAAAAAATATTTTTAATCAATCAAACAAGATGTGCAAAAGAATTCTGTACATCCCATCACCATTTTATGGTTAATAACTATTGCCTCTATATTCTTTTTGGCATAACTATGTTTTTTTAAGTATTTTCCATGGAAAAAAGCGATATTGTAAAAACCCTAAGGGAGATATTTATTTGAGGATAATGGAATAACTTTTATATTTACTTTTAACTTCTATATACATACTGTACTGTTTTCTTACCTTGAGATTCTAGTACGGCTCTTGAATTTCCAGCTAGGTACGCGTATGCAGAAGCAACACATTAATGTTAAGTACATGCTTGTATTAGGCCATGTAAAGCATATATCATAAGACATAGATTAGGAACAGGTTGTGTTAAAGTAAGATAAAATATCAATGTACGTTATTACCTTGAGGCGGAAAGTACCCATGTTGGGCATGTTGAGATGGATAATTCTGTTGCGCGGGAGTTTCCGAAATGGTAGGTCGTTGACGAAGACTGGAATATCGTTTAGGTCTGTTTCCAGAGCTATCCTGTTGTTGCTGTTGCTGTATTGTCTGCTGCGGAGAATGCGTTTGTTGTTGATGAGATGGTTGTTGTTGTGGTTGTGGTTGTTGTTGCTGCTGTTGCTGCATTCTAGGTGGCACTGTGTTTGATCTATGTTGGTTGGTGGACGCGAAAAAACCTTCTATACAAATTAGAAAAAAAAGAAACATTGGGCACTCGCAGCTGTATGGCAAAAGTATAAGCTAAAGACATCGATAAGAAATTTTTATATCTATATTCCTGAAAATGTCTCTCAGAATGTTTAAAATAGTTTTCCACATAAATTTAATTATTAAATCAATATTTTGAAGTAGACATTTGTTAATTATTGAAGATATTAGAAAAACAATCACTCACAATCAATTAAAAGACAAGTCACAGAGTATGTTATAACTATTTAAATTAATAAATTAAATTGCTAGTCTTTTTCTATTCTTGTCGTCGAAGATTTGCGACCATTACGAATATATTTATACAATTTCCTATTCTTTCGATTACTATACTTGACATAAACTCACTGTTGTGTCGTGCAGGCTGGTGATATTGACTACCATCATTAATATTGAGTTGTTGTTTCATGTCGTGAGCAAGTTGATGCTCTTCATTATGCTGGGCGGTATTATTCCTTCTATTTTCTACCGTAACCGGGCCCGGGCCACGTCCTTTCAATTTATTCTCAACTAGTCTGTTAGTGACCATGTTGTTATTGGCGTTGGACTTGAAACCTCTACCGCGCGTCCTACTTGCGGCCAAGTTTACAGACTCTTGGGTGTTCCTCTTGTTGTTCTCTCTTAATAATGGCTTGGTATTAGCTAGTTTTTCCACGTCACCGCCAGAACCAGTGTTTCCGTTTGTACTTTGATTTTGAGTAACGTGTCTACCTTCCTTTTTCCACGATGTATTAGTAGACTCATCCGATCCTTTATTTTCACTTCTGTAATAACATATTCGCTCAAGATGCCATCAACGTCTTATTATCGATAAAAAAGTCGTTTAAATATAATACAAGACAACGTACATGGATGTGTTGGAGGCGCTAGCAGGCTTCATTTTTGCAATATCCTGCTGGGACTGAAGCGGCGGGAAGTTTTGGGTTTTGTTCTGCGTTTTGTTCTTGCTGCTATACCAAGCCGACGAAATTACAGGTTCCTCCACCTTGCTCGGAGTATTCTGCATCAATTTAGAGAGAAACGAAAAAAAAAGATATATCCGATCAAACTTGTAATAATCAATCGCGCTAACCAACGCAGGTGTATCTCGCGACATTTACCTTGCTATTACCGAGAGCAGGAAAGTCTTCGTTATTCTTCTGGAAGCGTCTGTTGGTTGCCCTACCAGGTACAGTCTTCCCGTAAGCGTCTTCGTCCTCCCAATTCCTCGTGTACTTGTTGGGTCCACGGCTGAGAAAATACGCGAGACACATGTAACACAATGAAATCGTGATTTATGAGAAACAAAACTCCGCGATAAGCTCACCCGTATCTTCTTCTCCTCCTAGCTCTAGGTGGCCCTTCCTCGTTTCTAATATCATAGCCGTACGTTGCTATCAATTCCTCGGGTCTTTTTGGAGCCTGCTCCTCATCGTTGTATCTGTCGTGGTCCCACCTATCCTCCTTATCTTTCCACACCTTCTTCTCCTTGGTCTCCTTCACGCTCGTCGGCTGCTCCGCGTTATTATCGGTCACTTCGTCAGTCGTACGATCGTCATGCTCGTAAAACGTCCCTCGTTTCGGTATGTACTGCGGATTACGCCTGTCCTCGTCGTCGTCCAACTTCTTCTGCGGCTTCTCCTCTTCTTGCCCGTCCCCGCTTTCGCGTTGTTCCCCGCCTTCCTGCGACTCGGCATCGGAGTCGCTCTCGTAAATGTCGCATTCTGAGTCTTGATGCCCGTCGGTCTGTTCGCTACTCTGTAAAAGGGAGACTGGTCAGTACATGTTCTAATCAGTTGCAAATTAAAAACTTTATAGACATATCGACAGCTTCAGCATTTAATCAATTCTGAATTACTTATTGTACATTTTTAATTTTTCCTGCAATTAATAGATATCTCCTTCAGCCTATTGATTGATTCCACTGATTAGCTATCTGTGGTTCTTTATATAAGTCAAGGCTGTGGTCAAAGGAAAGGCAGAAAAACAACGTGGCCCTATTGAACTGCATAAACTAACTAAAGCGCGGGTAAACTTTTTGCTCCCTTTCTCCCCTCTCTCTTTTCTATCGTTCACATTTATTAAAGTGTAAAACTGTATTAAAAAGTGCGAAGCGTTTATTAAAAGATGTTTTTTTTAACTTTCGCGCAATAATTCCCTGGCAAATTAACGGCTAATTTGCTATAAACAAAAGATTCGCTTGACCGTAATATCTCGTTATTAACTTTAACATTTAATTCTTTATTAATTTTACAATCCAATGATGTGTATTTCGTTAATCAATTTTTAATGTTGAAATAAATTTGAGACGCCAGTAAAAACACTTCCAAGCCCGATTCATGTAACATTTTTAATCATAATTTAAGAATGCACTATTCATAGTTTTAATTTTAATAAAACTATGTAAGTCGCTTCTCAGTCCGAGTTTACCAATACATTCAAACAAGTTGGCGGATAGTAGGCTCGTTCTAGATAGAACCGAGAAAGGTGTTGAAGCAATCGATACGGCGATAAAAGAGCATTCTAGAAATATGAAACGAGACAACCATGGATGACAAAAAGGTTGTCGGAATGAAGTACAAATGGAACTCGCTCAATAATTAAATAAAAGGTTTCAATCCTTCTGTGAATGTGTAAAGTTTCAACTGATTCGATCAAATCGTTCATCTTAGATCTTGAAACAAACGTATCCGTTTGATTTAAACAAAAATGAATAAGCTCAAAGTGCGTGCAAATGATCAGGTGTGTCACAAAGAGTGGCAGGGTCTCTCAAGTATTTTGCACATCGGCATGAATGGCTCTGTCGACAAGCTCTTCACGAGCTGCGAGATTATCAGGACTAAGTTGGCGGATGTTAAACCAAATGCCACAGGCTGGTGGCAGGCGGTCAAAACCATATCATATCGCATATCGTTAACTAAGACGGACGTGCCTGTAAAAAATAAACTGTTTAATCGTACGAATTGCAGCTTATGTTTCTAAAAGACCTAAGAGTTTTACGCGAGACGTACGACGTCCGTTGTGCGAGTGCCGTTCGTATAGCCCGTTACGAGTGCCCTTCAAATTGGCCCACGTGTATATTCGCGAGGGAAAGGCTGATAGCTGGGAACGATCCGTAAATACTCAAGACTGCTTAGTCGTAGACGTAACGCGGTGTCCACAATGAGATCTCAAGACGTAAGATTGAGGAAATTGGCCAATTACAGCCGAGTATATCAATTTCTTAAATCTCACGTCTTAAAGTCTCACTGTAGACGCCGCACAAGGCGAGGCAGAGAGAACAACTTAAGTCGTGAAAGGCTGTTGTAAACAAAACGCAAGTTTTTCTCCTTACGTCTACGACCTTAAGGCAGTTTTGAGCGCTTACGGATTGTTTCCTGCCACCAGCCGAAGACGAGACTCGGCGGAACCAATCGGTCGTCCGTGTCGTCAGCTCGCAAGGCCCGCGGTGTCGGCGGCGGCGAGGAGAGGATCAAAACTGCGCCGAGGGATCCGCGGGCCGGCCGACCGCGGGTCTCGAGCTGGCGACTCTCTCGACTCCGCGGACAACAGAAGCAGTGTTCCCCGTCTCCCTCGCACGCCCGACTCTCGCCGAGCGGACGGCGCGACGCCGCGACGGCTAGGGAGGTGCCCTCCTGGCGCGACTCGCCCCCGCGGCGGGTCCCTCCCGAGGTCCCCACGCGCGCGCGTTTACCTGGGTCTCCTTCGTCGCGTTCAGCTCCTCGTACGAGTCCGAGAGATCATCAGAGCCGCACGACTGGTTGGACTTGCGACGTCGCCGTGTGTCCGACATTGCTGCTGCGTCCGGTTGCACGCGATGGAAAGTATCGCGCGTGGTCTTCCCGCTTCCTCGTGTGTCAGCCCCGAGAACGGACGGGAAATAACGGCGGAGAGGGAGGAAAAACCGTTCCGATCGTGTCCGCGGGATACCTCTCGCGCGATGCGTCCAGCCGATCTCGCTCTCGCTCACTCACTCACTCACTCACTCACTCACTCACTCTCTCTCTCTCTCTCTCTCTCTCT